TAAGGGGGGGCACGACATGAAAAGTGTGGGGACTACTGTCCTAGAGCAAGTGATGTAGAAAACTGGGGGTGTGGGGGTAGAGAGGGACTGTGGTGTTACTTAGTGGATGGGGAGCTAACAGTGATTGCTATTTCCACATGGAGACTACAGGAGGCGTAGCATGTGCTCCTCCTATAGCAGAATAAGGGATACCTCTGGTCTGTGCCTGGGGATCCCAGCCACCCTGTTAGCCCCATGGAGTCTGGCTGGGTGTTCCCATGAAGGAAGGTCACAAGCTGATGCTGTCTGGCTCTGTTTTTCCCTTGTGTCCTTGGCAGGGTTTCATGAGAAGGATGGCAAAGCCTATTGCCGCAAGGATTACTTCGACATGTTCGCTCCAAAGTGTGGGGGCTGCGCCCGGGCCATCTTGGAAAATTACATCTCTGCCTTGAATACCCTGTGGCACCCTGAGTGCTTTGTCTGTCGGGTAAGAGAGCCTGTGCTGCCCACTGTCACCTGACCCCTCTCCCAAGTCCCCTAGGTGGGTGTCTGGTGGTTCCCTCGATCAGAACAAGGGGTCTGTGCCAGCACAGGACAGCCAGCCCCACAAAATACATAGTGTGATAGTGACCACGCACCCTCTTGCTTCTCTGCCTGTTTCCATTAAATTCTCTAGGGGCTTCATTCCCTCCTCCTCCCTCATAGCCACAGTTATGGGCTTCTGCAGCAGTTCACTGATAAGCACAGAATTTTTCCAGTGGTTTCTTAGTAATAGTGAGCTAAGCTTTCTGAGCACTCCGCCTCAGCACCCTGATTTGAAGAGCTTCCTCGTGTGCTCACTCTGGAAATGTCAACTTAATGAGACTGACCTATTTGGATCAACTTGGACACTAATGAAATAGCTGTAAACTGAATACGCTGCTGCATAATGAACTGTAATGCTGCAGAATAAATACTTAGCACGTCTTCAAAGAGCCTTGTAAATATTGACCCATCTCCCAGGAGCAGTGTAAAGATGAATATCAGCCACGTGGTACCGAGACAGAGGCAGAAAGGCGGAGTTCAGAATGAGGGTCAGAACCCATAAGTTCCTGTTTCAAATCCTGTGCTCAGACCACTAGTCTGCTCTCCTCTGCTGCAGAGCAGCCAGCGTGAAAGGAGTTGGCTGGAGCTGTCCCTTTGAAACTCTCCATCACTCAGAAGGCCCCTGTGAATAGAAATTCTGGCAGTCTCTTGTGAGCAGCTGACCAGCTCCGTCCTTGCCTGGACCTGGGTTCAGGCTCTTCTTCTGCTCAGGAGATGTTGCTCGGCATTCTTCACGCTGCTGCCTGTTAGTGGGGGCAGCAACTTTTGGGCAGAGTCTGTTTTTCTGTTGTTAAAGTCAGGCCAATTTCCAGTGTTTGTTTTCGAATGGAGGTGGATGGCTTAGTAGTCTCAGCATCAGGCTCCCAGGTACCTGCTGCCTTTCACTGCTGCAGGCAACTGGAGTTCCTCGCAGTTCACTGTGTGCGAACGTGCCTGGATATGCACTTACTGTGGCTGCACCCTGCTGGATGCCTGCACGCAGGGCTCAGTTTGCATCTGCCTGTGACTAAGTAGATGTCCAACCATGTGTGCACTTGCGGTACTGTGCGTGTCCCTAGGGCTAGACGTTCAAGTACAAAACTAGGACTCAGGACATCTGGCTTCTGTTCTTGACTTTGCTGCTGACCCGTGTGACCCTGGGCAAGTCCCTTAATGGCTCTATACCTCAGTTTCCCCCCCTGTAAAAAGGGGGGGGGGGAATTCCTCCTAACTTCCCATGACTGT